TAGAAGGAGGACCCTGTGTTAGGCTTTGGCATTTTCTGTTAGGCTTTGGCATTTTGTTAAACCCTAATGTTTACTCTAACCTAAATCCCACATCCTCAAAGCCCGCATCATGAGACAAGGTGCCGTTGGCCGTCGTCATCATGTCCTGAGCTGCTGCGATGTCTGTCGCGGAGACTCAGGAAGTTGCTGTGAGTGGTTTCGGGTTTGAGCTTAAGGTGAACATCTAACCTCTGATGGGGCTAGTATGCTCACTGTTCCTTATTATTGTATCATAAGGCCAGCAGTCGTTGCTACTCTGTTCGCATTAACATAAGGTTAACACTCATGCGACTGTACATATTGATACTCGTGGGTAATGTGGGGGCCTTAATAATTAGAACAGGGGTTGAAGGCCCTTTATACCCTGTTTGTAATAAGGAACCCCCAAAATAGTATAGGTAATTGTTTAGGCTTCTATATTATTCTACAACCTTTCCATCTCTACCCTAACCCTAAACCCTAAACTCTAAACCCCTAAACCCCTAAACCCTAAACCTCTAAACCCCTAAACCCTAAACCCCTAAACCTTTCTAATGCTAGCTTGCCTGAAAGTATGAAGTCCAGCCTGCGCTGAATGCGCCGAGTCGCCCATGCCGCCTTCTTCACCTGCCAGGCTTGCGGATTTAGGGTTTAGGGCTAGGGTTTTGGGCTTTAGGGCTTAGGGTTGGCTTGGGGTTAGGGTTTAGGTCTGGGGTTTTGGGGTTTAGGGGTTTAGGGTTGGCGTAGGGTTAGGGTTTTAGGGCCTGGGTTTTGGGGTTTTGGGTTTAGGGTTTTAGGTTAAAGGGACGGAGCAATGTCCCAGAAACCCTCGGAAGCCCTTCACCGCCTTTTCCTGCGATCTAAGTCTACAGTGAGATGTCCTTGTTAGTGTCAACAAACCCAGAGAACCCAATACCCCTTAATTAAGGAAGATATGCCTTAGATTATAGGCGGCCTTAATAATTATGCGTTAAGGTCTATTCCTTTATTAAGGGGTATTGGCTTCTCTGGCAAACCCTTACCAGAAGGAATCCTCAGTGTACGGAGACCCTCAACGAGGTACCCCCCCACACACACATAAGAAAAGAACCCCTCTCATGGGCAGAGACATCAAAAAGCAACCTCCTGACGAGTGCATGCTGCTTATCCTCTTCTTTGGAACTCGTGTCACATTCGCCACCAGCGCTCTGCTACTACTCTTACTACTCCTTCACACCTCTTGCCTCTATGCTGCCCTCGGACCTAAACCCTCAACCCAAAGCCCTAAACCCTACAGTACCAATATTCTGCCGATGACGGTAACCAGCACATCATGGTTCAACTTTCCTAGGCGATTCTCAAGGCATTGTTAACGGAAACTACAGGTGGGGAGTTTAGGGTATATAGACCTTCTATAAGGCTCCTATAACGGTAACCACTCACCTGAAACTGTCCTGGGCATCGCAGTGTCCTGAAGGCTATGGCCGAGAACTTGCCAGGGGCAGCTCTATCGGTACTACAGAGGCCTCCTTAATAATAACAAAAATAATAATAATAACAATAATAATAATAGTAATAATAATAATAATCAGAATAATGACAATAATGATAATAATGATAATAGTAGTGATCAGAGCTAGGGTTTTGGGGAGCAGGTTACACTATAGCAAAAAATCAGGAAACCCCCCACGATAGTGTTGCTAATTGTGTGAGCCCCCTATATTCCGTCAACGTATGTCTTGGGGCTGGGTTCAGGTGATTAGGGATAAGGGTTTGTGGAGTTTATGGGCGCGGAAGTTTTGGCAGTTTGAACACCCCCCCGCCATTCATGAGCCCCCCCACCAGAATCTAAGGGGCCCTTTGAAGGAGGAACAATAGTGTGATGCTGCGAAGCTTGGGGGTTTATGGTTTATTGTGACTTACAACCCTAAACCCTAAAACCCAAAACCCTAAACCCTAAAAGTCTAAAGCCCTAAACCCTAAAACCCAAAAACCCTAAACCCGTCTCACGCCTCACATCCGCAATGCACCCGCTTCTCTCCCTCCCAGATTTCCTGAAGCCCCGCGCCTGCTTCTGATTCCTCATGTACTCCTCGTACTCCTTTGCTCTGAGGAGTCTTGCATCTCGGGATCTAAGAGGCCTAAGTATTTACCAATACTATTTGGGGGACCCTTTATTATACTTATTGTAATTTTAAATACCCTAAAACCCTAGTCTAACGAGTAAGGCTCTTCATATTCTAGAACCCTTTTCATAGGGAACCTTATTTAAGATCCCTTACAGGCAGCCTTTTGGCGAAACCCTGTTCAAGCTACGAAGGTCCTGAGATTAGGGCTTCCCAGAGCTGCTCCCAGTGTAAAAGCCCTTCAGAGCAGTGAGGGCTTCCTGAAGTTACGGCTAACACTCCTAAAGCATAGTTCAGGGTCCTTCAGGTTTAGGGTTTAGGGTTTAGGGTCCTTAAGGTTTAGGGTTTAGGGTTTAGGGTTTAGGGTTTAAGGCATGACATGCGGAAAGCGACGGCCCACGACTTTGACAGGCGGATGTTGATATTGCATTGAATACACTGAGACAATAACATCAGCAGTGTAGCAGGAGCGTAACCCAGTGGCACCAACTTTTCGAACTCTCTCGTGCAAATATTATGGGTAGTTCTCCAAATGAGGGCCTCTTTTTCGGTCCCCAATATAGTACGGCACCCTTATAAAGAAGGATCCTAAAAGGCCCCAATTTAGAGAACTGCCCTTGTGAATACTCGCAAATTTCCGGGCATGTGTGTACCTTGTGGAACCCTGAGCCTTACACCCGAGGTGGCCAGAGGGCGAACGGGCTTAGCCCATCAAGTCCACGGGGTTTAGGGTTTAGGATTGAAGGCTTAAGGTTTCATGTAGGTGCCTTAATAATTAGAATAGGGTTCTGGGGGCTCCTTATTAAAATCATAGTAGAATAGGCGCCCAAACCCTATTCTTATTGCTAAGGCCCCTAAATTAGGGCTTAGGGCTTAGTCGGAACTCGATAGGGGGGTTTCCGAAAATAGAGGACCCTAATAGAGTATCCTAAATAGTAGGATCTTTATTGTAAGGACCCCAAAATAAGGTACCCTAAGTTTCGGAAACTCCCATAGAGCCTTGAAGGGCTCTGAAAGCCACGGTTCGGAAAAAAGGGGACTGCACGGGGACTCGTGACTCTTCCCTAGGGGCTGAGTACCCTAGCCCCCAAAAAGGTTAACCTTTATATAGTATCCTAAATAGTAGGATCTTTATTATAAGGACCCCAATATAAGGAACCCTAATTTTATGGTAGGATTATATATAAGGCCAAAAAGGTTAAAGATTACCTACTCAGCTACTAGCTTCCGACTCCTCTACTATGTGGAACCCAATATGTTAAACCCGAGCCAAGTTCAACCCGTGGGGCTGGGGTTTAAGGTGTTTACTGCGAGGTTCTGGGGGGTTTCAGGGAGCCATAAGGACCTAAGAGAAACTGCAAAACCCTTGGCCCCTCATCAAAAACCCTGGCCCCTCATAAACCCCTAAACTCTAAACCCCAAAGCCCTAAAGCCCGAAAGGGGGCCCTATGCAGATCCGGCCACAGGGGTGCCACGGTCTGCTGCAGTGAACTTCCGGGCCTGCCTTGTTTCGGAAAGGCTTTGAAAGGCTTCAGGCTTATGGTTGGATTTAGGGGGTTTATGGGCTTTGGCATTGGGTTTAGGGTTTGGGGTTTGGGGTTTAGGGTTGGATTTTTGGGGGTTTATGGGCTTTGGCGTTGGGCTTCAGGCCTATTGCCGACTTAAGGGCTTGACTTCTAAAGCGGTCTCCTAGGATATGAGCTTCTGGTCCTGTAGAAAGCTTTGGCACGGGGGTTCCTTATTTGTTCAGTATCCTAGGAGAAACTAGGTTAACCTTGGGATACTGTAGTTCTCAGAGACTCCATAATGTCGATCCCATAGAAACCCTGTAACTTGTGGAACCTCTCAAGAAAGGTCAAGAAAGGAACCCTGGCTGCACAAATCCTGAAGATCATGTCCATTGGGTTTCAGGTTTCCGTCTTCTGGGCTTCAGGTTCGTGGAGCCTAACATCAGGGCTTTCAGGGCTTTAAGTTTAGGGTTTAGGGTTGCGATAATCGCTCTATATATCCTCAGAGACTCCATTATCCCTTAATTAAGGAATATGCCTGAAATTCTATTAGGAACCCCAATAAGATCTTTGTATATTCCTTAATTAAGGAATATTGGAGTCTCTGGGTCTATGCAGGCTCTGTATCTCCGGTGTTTTGTTTAAAGATTGGGGCTTCCGGGCTTCGGCCTAAGTTCCTACAGGAGCCTCATCTAGGGGCCTGAGTGATGAGAGGAGGGCCCGTTCGTATGAACGAAACATGAAATACTGTTTATGAGAAAAATCCTGCATCAGCACCCCCTCAACTACGGGAATTATGGTACATTCCTTATTATGGGTAATGCAGGATTTATATCATGAACCATATGTACATTTGAAACAGCAACATCAGGAGCCAAACCGGAGAGCCTCTGGGCTTTTCCTCTGCTAGAAGAGGGTTCCTCTCAAGGTGGCGACAAGGGTTGCCGTACCAGAGCTCAACAAGAGCCCACCAACTAATAGAGAATTCCTGTCCTCCCCCGATGTCACGCCTACTTTCTCATTAGCATCACGGGTGTAGGAATAATCGGGTACCTCGTCCACAAACCCAAGGGAAGGGTTCCCATACAGAAAGCCGCAGTCGTCCCAAAACACTTTGATGCACGCGAAATACAGGACTTTGAAGTAACTCGGGAGAAAAAAGTATAGACCTTTATTTCATATGGGTTCCTTGGATGACAGGTCCAGTAAAAAAGTATTCAAGTATGGTACTTCAGAACCCAGAATATGACACGAGGAAGGACCGCCACAATGTCACGGGGCATTTTTTTGCAAGGCTCTCAAGATCTGCAAGTCAGTGCCACACTGCTTTGGGGCACGGATGCTCGAAATGTCCATTGTCCATGGAAATTCAAAGCATCGGACCGCAGTCTTTCAAAAAATCATACACGACACTTTTTAGCCAGTTAGTCTTAGTTTCGAAGATGCGTCGGTCACAATCGCACTGACGGCGAAGCTGTAAATGGATCGCGAACTTGCCAAAATAGTCGAAACTGTAGCCGTGGCTCATGTGGCGCCGGCTCCACGGGTTGATATCCAAACTTACCTTAGCGCGCTTGTCGTTGTTGAGGTAGGCGCTGAATGGTTCCCGTGGCGGAATATGAATCTCGTCCACCTCAGGGTAGATACCCAGCGACCCCAACACGTCATGAATAGACTGTCCAAAGACATCAACCGGGACAAACACATCCTGCACATCACCGTTGGCTTGCAATCGTCTGTCACTGTTCAAGTGCCACAGCAACGCCCACCGAAACTGCACTAAGCCGTGCTCACTTGTTGGCCATGGCCCACCTCCGTCCCCCTTCAACTTGGAGTCGAACTCATGTGACCAGTGCATTGGCTTCATGAGCAACTTACCGTTCAAGTACAGGGCCTTCAGAACAAATAGGCGGCGATTATCAATTGAATAGATCTTTCTATCAGGCGGACATCGACAAACTCGAATACTAGGAAGCCTCTGCAGCACACAGCGTCCCGACAACAACTTTGTCGTCCACTCAAGAAGATCTACTTGCTAGCCGCGGCCGCCGTCGATTCGGTTCTTGATCGACAACTGTGTGTTGTTCACGTGCTCCACGCTGAGATAAATATCTGGCTTCGCCATCGCTCTGAGTGCCGCTACCCTTTACACCGCTGCAACTGGATGACGATTCGCAAATTCGAGGTTGCATCAGGGAGCAGAACGCACCCGATCAACTTCCAAACATGATAGTAGGAAAACTTACATCTTCTTAGATAAAAAGCACCAAGATGCATGCTGAAATGCTGCCGGACCCCGTGATGCACAGGTTCGATTGGTGGTGGATGAGCGGCGGAAGGGGTCTTGCAAAGCTGGTGCAACCGGTTTTCTACACATATGAGTCTGAGGTGGCTTTGAAAAGTAGAACAAGGTTTGGGGCTTTTCGGGCTTTTTGGGTTTTTAGGGTTTAGGGTTTCGAAAAGTAGCACCGCATCACTTGTTGACTTTGCATAGAGCCAACCAACGCCACTGAATGCTTTGGTAATGAACTGCCAAACCCTTACTTTCCTCTCCTACTCCCTCCACACCGACGAGTGCCTCGGTTAAATTTTTGAGTCTATACCCTAATTCTCTCAAAGCTAAAGCCACCTTCGACTCCAGCTGTCAAGCGGCATCTGGGTCAAAGCGCCGCGATGGCGGGTAGCTCCAGACACGAAAGCCTTCTTTGAGCCAGTCAGGCTCAGGGCGTTTAGCGAGGGCTCGGGCATTGGAGCTGTAAGGTTTCTTTTTCAACACCGGGCTCCTGCAATAAAGGTGCAGTGTGTCTTCGCCAGGCCTTGCCAAGTTTCAAAGGGGTGCTGAAGGTGAACCGCTAGGATAAAAACACGAACTGTGTTGCTTGAGGGTTACTGACTGAGCCGCGAGTGGCAAGACAGAGTCTAATGCCTAAGCCCTACGCCGTAACATCTTGAAACATCAGGAAGCTGCCATTGACTACTCGGAAGGACACCAAACAAGAATTCTAAGTGCCCCACGGCAAATAGCAGAACGGCAGCAAAAGAAGCCCGGGCAACAGGGAACAAACCATGTATCACATGCTAGCACTTATGTTGTGTAGCTTGTAGTTAGAAATGTACATACCATGCCGTAGCATATCATGTCCTATCATGTGTCGTGTCCTGCACATTGTGTATGTTGTACTCTGTATTATGCATGTGTTGTATTGTACTAGATACTGTTGCGGCCTATGGGAGACGTCGCAAGACCGAACGTTGCAAGCATGCTGTAGCAGCAGAAACCTCACCTGTAGGACGTTGAAAGAAGTTGATACCTAGTTTGTAAAACTCCAACATCCTGAACCCTTTATACCACAGAGCCATCCGTACATGACCACATGAAACCTTCTGAGCAACGCTTACAAACAAACAGCTACAGACAGACATAGAACTACCACCCAATAGTTTGAGCACCCTCAGAAGTGTCCCATATGCTTCAACCAGGGACCCCTCATGGAAAAAGAACATGTCGTCATTGAGAGCCTCATGCCTTCTAGAAACACGCTAACACCCCACAAGCCCTTTCAATCAAGAACTGAAACCCCTAGGACCCTACCAGACTATAAACCCTGTAAGCCCTAAGCTGAACCCCGAAAAATCCCAAGAACTCAATAAACCAACGCCCAAACCACGGCCTCGTCTTCCTCCGGGAGGGCACCGCCGAGCAGTGTGATCGCCTCGGTCGATCGAACAGGGCTCTTTTTGGGGTTTCCTTGAAGGGTTATACTATCGGTGTAACTAGAAGAGCCTACAATGAGGGTTCTATGACGTCTCGGGTACGGGGCTTTGTTTTTCTGAGGTTTACGGGGAAGCTCCTTCAGAGTTTACAGGGCGAAGGTTTAGGGCTCATGGGTTCAAGTTTCGGGGTGACGTGTTGAGGATTGGGGCTTGGGGCCACTCCTTTCAGGGCTTGGAAACTTTTCGTGGGCGTGTTTTATCGTCGTTTCTTCGTCTACTGATGTTCTTTTGCAGTGTTTGTCCCTGCTTTTTCGGGATCCTTCCCGCAGAAACTGAGTCCAGGATCCAGAATTTAGGTTCTCGTCGAGTGGCTGGGCCGGCTGGGAGCAGCACACTTAATTTTTTTCTGGGACATTTGAAGCCCAATTCCCAACTTTCTCCCACCCTTGCAGCCTAGCTGTTGTATGCTTTTGGTAGAAGGATTTTGTCCGAAAGAACTGACCTCCACTTTCAACTGGCAACACTTCGCAAGCAAGGGGCTCTCTTATTCTGTGGCTGGGGGCAGAGAGCACCAGACACTTTCGAAAAAGCTGGTGCAGCCTGCGAACCCCAGTCACCATCCACAACCAGAAAGATTCTCCAAAAGTACACCACTCTGACTATCTGTCGCTCCCCACTTAATAGTCCATCTGCCGCCTATCTCTATGTAGCTGCATGTTCACTTATTCCGAGGAACGAAAAAGATAACATACACAGAAACACAAACACATGCAGCTTCCAGCAACCTTGTTTTGTACATCTACAGCTGCTACATCTTTTGCATTCGCAGTGGCTCTTTCCATATATGGGTAGTTCTCTAAATTAGGATTCCATTGTAGAAATGCAATATAGCGCGGCGCCTTCATAAAAAGTACCCTTAAAGGGACCATAATTTAGAGAACTACCCAGATGAGTGTTGGCATTAGGGCTTTGGCATCCGCCTGTCTGCGTCACCGGCTGTTAAGCAGTCCCGCCGAAAGTTATCTATGACTGGTTGACTAATTAAAATAGGTTGTTCGGTCACATCATCCTAGATTTACAATCAGGAAGTCTAATGAAAAAACAGTACATCTGTTCAGGCTTCTATGTATATTTCTTCTTGGGCACATGCTGGGTGATTTGAACCTGTTTTGATCTCTGAGAGCTGTGCCAGCAAAGTCATGGCCAAAGCCACGCAGATGCACCTCGAGAGCCAATCAAGTTTCAGCAGTCGCAGTAGGCACCAAAATGGCGATGAGGCTAGTCACCGCACACACAGCAGCACGCACAGCAGCAGTCATTGTTGGTGCTGTTGTTGTTGTTGTGGTGGTGGTGGTGTTGCTATTGTCGTCGTTCGCCGTCGTCGTAGGAGTTGCAGGAGCCGTAGCAGCCCTAGTACTTGTCGGTGTCGTGATGTCCGTGCTACTCGTGGTGGAAGTACTGGGTGTAGTCAGCACATGGCAAGTTAGAACCTCCATGACCTTCGACTTCATCGCCATCATCGTTGTCATTGTCATCGTCATCATCGTCGTCGTCATCGTCATCATCATTGCCATCGTCATCATCATCATCATCATCAGCAACAACAATGTAGCTTTCTCAGGGACTCAGTACTCTCATCCAGAGGACATCCGACAGCAACGACCGGTACTCAAAGGCGGTACCATCCCTTACCGAATGGTACCCTCGTCACGATTCCTACAGTACTAAGTACTAGAACTCTAGGAACATGTCGCGTGGGGGCGGGGGCATTGTAGAGCTTTTGCAGTGTATAGACCCGATAAGAACACCCTGTAAGCCTCTCTGTCTCTGTGTAGCGTTCCAAGGGACGGAAAGAGAGGCAGTCTTTGGGAAGGCATCCTCCCAAGAGCGATGCGACGTGCTTAGGAATTTTGGGGCTTTGGGATCATGGTTCGGGGTTTAGGGTACTGAACAAATTCGGAATCATGCGTCTTGGTGTTCAGATGCCCTTCCGACGAACAGCGAAACGCTTCGGTGCCAGTGATCCACGAACCTGCTCCTAAGGTACGCAGCTACTATGACTGAGTGATGCTTCTTAGAACCGATGCCTGAAAGTGCACTCTGTGCAGATGCAAGTAAAAAGGAAGAGGGGTACCCGAGCACCAATTCTTGGGACAGGTCAAGCTCTCGAGTCTACACGCCCGAGTGAAACAATGATGCGAACGCTTTCGGGCTTCTGTGTTGCAGCACCATAAATATCCCCGAGGGATATGCTAACAATTAACAAGCTTTGACAGGGAAGCGGATAGTGGTCAGGGTCGCGAAGTCGTCGTGACTTAGACTCTGTAGTTTCTCCATATCCCCAAAGAAACCTTGTGAGCGCAAGATGAAAGATAAACAACACAGTAAACACAGCCCAAAGAGCAGCGTCTCAACGGAACCCTGAACCCAAAGCCGTAAAGCCCTCAACCCTAAACCCTGAACCCGAAACAACCCTGTGTCCCGAAGGCCATGAGTCCTGACCAGCCCGCAGCCCCATGAGGGGTAGTTCTCTAATTTAGGGTCCCAAGTATTGCACGGCACCCTCTTAAAACGGACCTTGAAAGAGACCCTAATTTAGAGAACTTCCGATGAACCTCTAAGAGAAGATGTGTCAAGGAGATGCGAGTCGGCCTGGAAGATTATGTCTAAGATGCTTCGAAGCCTGTGACAGGAAGGTCCATAAGGGAGTGTTTTATAAGAGCCAAATAAGAACATGTATGGACAGAAAATACGGGAGCCTACAAAGTGGTCTACGAAACGGATACAGCCCTGAGTCATCCCGGAAGAAGCCTGTCCTGTCGTCTCAGCACTTCCAGCGCAAGTCGCTCCACTCACCGTGCGCAAAGTCTCTCCCCGCTAGGATCCGAGCCGTGCAGGGTGCAGGCGAGTCATGCGTTGAGGGCTTCAGAGGTTTCGGGCTTTTTTGGGGGGGTTTAGGGGGTTGATTTAGGGGGTTTTGGGGGTTTTGGGGGTTAAGGGAGTTAAGGGGGGTTTTATCCACAGGCTCCATTGTAGTTCCTTTGTGGTTTCGGTTTAGGGATCCGAAAAGGAGCTACTATGGAGCCTGATGGGTGGGCCGAAGGCTCTGGGGGTGAGGGCTTGAGGGCTTCTTCTTTGAGGGTTCAGGGTTTA